TGTGGGAGGTTTTCCCAGCCTTCCTCAGAGACCACTGTTTTTAGGGGTCCCTTCCAGAAATGGTTCCTATGACTTGTGATTATAGTTTGAACAACCGAAGTCTTTCCCCCACATATTCCCAACATCCATATGATCGGAGCATAAGAGGCAGCTCCAAATATGAAAGATAATTTGTGAAGAAAAGGGCAGCTGGCTTCAAAGGGAATATTTTCATTGAAAGTTTGCCCAGACTTAACTAAAAAGAGCCATGTAACCTCATTCTTAGTATCTGTACAGCCTGTCACTTCAGAGAGAAATGCTTAAAAGACAAGGCTGTGTTCATTTTGAGCAAATCTGTGGAAAAACTATAAAACATAAAAGTATGTTATCAATTCTAGAATGTTATCCATAGTTATATTGGCTCAGCCTTAAAAGCGTTGTCAGGGCTTGATGCCTGGTATATTGTCAAGCTCTCAATAAACTCTTGATGGATGGGTAAATAAATGAATGAATGATTTTGGATATCCAGTAGCAATGAAAAGTATGCTTGAGCATCACATATTGCATATCTCAATAGACTCTATAATCAGTTGCTTTTAATATTGGTTTAGTTTTGATATGTTCAGATGGGTACATCTATATATATCATAGGAAGGTCAATTATGGGTGAACCAGAAATGTGCTTTAAATATTTCTTAAATAGTTCTAAATACCTTCTATACACCTTTGCTTCAGTGTTTGACCAATAAGTCCTAAATTTTTCAGTGAAACAACATAGCCCAGGATTTTTTTTTTTTTTACACAATTGCTGTAATACAAAGAAAGCATGAGTAAGAAGCCAGAGAATGGAGCCGGTTTCCAGTCCTTTGGATAAGAAAATTCCCAGAAATGTTGGGAACTGCCGGAAATGCCTGGTTGTTAATGCAACTAGCCTTGCAGATTCTCGGGCTGAAAGCCAGATAGTTCCCACTCTATTTTGTGACAGCTCCACTCTGGGGAGCAAGGCCAGTTTCCCCAAACCAGCAGCTGTGTAAAAGACCACGGTGACATGGCCAAATGATCCTCAAAGCCATTTCCTCTCTACAGCTGTGTGCCTTCTTCATTAAGGAGGTGCCTATAATAACAGTGAAACTGATTTTCTTTTTACTGTTAGCATGCCCTTCACATGCTTGTCCTGTCTTAAATTATAGGTTTGATTAAGCCATTTCCTCTCTACAGCTGTGTGCCTTCTTCATTAAGGAGGTGCCTATAATAACAGTGAGACTGATTTTCTTTTTACTGTTAGCATGCCCTTCACATGCTTGTCCTGTCTTAAATTATAGGTTTGATTTTCTTTTATTTATTTATTTATTTTTGGGGGGGTACCTGGCTGGTATGGGGAGCCAAACCCTTGACCTTGGTGTTATAACACCATGCTCTAACCAACTGAGCTGACCAGCCAGCCCCAAATTATAGATTTTCAACTGTTGAAAGCAGAGCCTGTGACTAAGTTATCTTTTCATTTCTTTCTCTTTCCTCACACTGACATCGTGCCTAGCCCAAAGGGGTGCTCCATAAAGGATTGCTGAATTGAACCAAACACCAGTTGTTTCCAATTCCAGTAATAATCACGCTAATTATTTTACACAAAGTGGAATAATTCCTTTAGCAAAAGTCAGAAAAGGCATTTGGAACAGCAAGTTGACTTCTCAAATCTTCCGCCCAAATCCTGTTGAATTCATGTGTATTATTCAGAATTGAGTCTGGAGCTCTCAGGATATAGTATAGTCTGCTCTTAGGGAGAAGAATTTGTAGAGACATGTAAAGGGTTTAGGTGCTTTCTCCTTTCTGTTCTGGCTTGGGGTGCAGTGAAAAGCAGGAAGTACAGTCCCTGGGGTTAAAAGAACATCTTTACATAGAGCTCTGGAGCAATACCACCTCCTCCACACTTTTTAAGGAAAAAACGTTGGAACATAGAGCTAAACAGCCCTACAGCTGCATTCTCGGGATATTTGAAATGATGCTCATCTTTTAACAAAGGCTCTGTGCATCCACAAAGGGGAAGCAAAACCTGTTCCTTGGCCTCACTGTGGCTCAGTCTCAGGAGCCTGAACCCCTTGCAGCGATGCCCTGCCAGGCGGGCTGTGGGATCTCATCCTCACAGTGCATCAGGACACAACAGGGATGTTAGAGAGAGGTATGGTCTCCCTGAACCTTTCTCTGTGGGTCCCCCTCTGAATGTCCAGTACCCTGCATTGTATATATACACATATCTCCTGACCCCAGCTCTAAATAAATGGCAAGCTGTCTTATTCAGATAATAACAACACATAAGAGAAAAGAAAACGATCACTCCGACAGGAAAAGAGAAACCTGTTCTTTGTCCAAAAGACAGAAACTCTTTGTGTTAAGAATAAGCAGCTTTAGCTTTTTCATGAAAAAAAAAATTTTTTTCTTATTTTTTATCTACAGTTACCACTTCCTAAATTCTTTTCATTTAGACCAACTACTCCTGATGTAGCTTTTGTATTTTCTTTCCACAGTGAAGCAGAACCACTCACGGCCCCAAATAGTACCTGTACATTATTAAAAGTCATTTCTTTTAGCATACTTTTTAATCTGCCTTAAAATGATAACCGTGGGGCCTTGATAAATTAATTGAAAAGCTTCTCTTAAGGTGGCTTTGGTGGTTTTGTTAGACATTAATTTTAAAAGTAACTTTCAGTAGAATTTATCAGTGAATTACTTCATACATTAACAGCATTAAATTATTTCCCCACTAAGGATATTATAATTCCTTTCCTCCCAGTAATGAAAAAGTGAAACTATCCTCAAGCAATTCTAGGTTGCATACTGGCCCTTATGTAAGTTCTTTTAGGAATGGCCCTGCCAGAACCTATAAATTATAAGTAAGTCTTTATTTATAAATAAAGAGAAAAGCACTAAAGAGTGAGGAAAAACAGCAATTAGAATTTCACATAAATGTCATTAGCTGAAGAATAACAAATGAAATAAGAACCAAGACAGGAGAGAATTGTTCGTTCAAGGAGTTTTGAGGCAGGGGATGTGGACAGAGCGTGGAGAGAGCTGGAGCCAGCATAAAGCGAAACCAGAAAGGAAATCTACAGTCTCCGTTATTCCAGTGAAATCTGGCACTTTCTGAGGTAGGCACAACCTTGGAGATTTATTTGTTTCTTCCCTTATAAACAAGAAGTTAGCACTGATAATGATCACTGGTAACACTTCCTCTGGAATGTACGACATTCCATGTTTCTGCTTCATAGTCACCACCGGACATGCATGAGTCAGACTGAGAGGTGGGGAATTTGCCCAGACTGCTTATGAGCCGGGTGAGGGTACAGTCAGGCCTAAGGATGTGGTCTTGCCATGCTTCTTTCTCTTTCAACTCATCTTATACTAAAGACGTGGGTGTTTTCTTTATCTATGGATAAAGAGTACAGTGAACCATCTGGAGACCATGAATTAAAATGGAAAACCAGCTGGTAATTATCTAGTGCTTATGAATTGTGGGAGCACCTAGCCTGAATATGTGGGGCCAAAATATGACACCCACAATTCTCCCAATTGCTCAGAAA